AAAAAAAAAAAAAACTAGCACTAGAAAAAAGGGCAGAGAAAAGATATGATCAGTTAGACACCAAAAGACATGAACACATTTTGTTCCAGACAATGGGATTATAAATGATTACTATTTTTTAATGATCTTGTCTGTTTTCTTAATTGTTTTCTATGGGTATTATTATTTTTACTATCAAAAAACCCTATGTGTAGAAAAGAGTTCCCTATTAATACTTGGGATAGTGCAACTAATAAGGGAAAAAATGCCTTTGGTCATTCAGAGGAACAAAATATGTATTGTTCATATATTCTTAGCCTTTGGCCATATGTCCTTACTCACAGCTCCCAAAAATCTTAGAATTTCTGAATTTCTGTATTGAAGATGTTGCTTATTGTGTTAATAATACAACTTTTGGGAACATCCAAGGATGGAAGCTGGTTGTTAGGGAAACTGACATGCATAGAGGACAAAGTCCCAGCCTCTGATTTCTAAGGAAGGAAGAGGGGCCAGAGGTTGAGTTCAATTGTTAATTGCCAATGATTTAAAGTTATGAAGTCTCCAGAAAGGCCAAAAAGGAGGGGCTTCCTGACTGGGGAACCAGAGGCCTTTCTTGCGCCATATGGCAGGATGCCACCAAGTCCCTTTGTTGGGGACTTCACCTTAAGTTTCTGTTCATCTGGGTGTTGAGTCATACCCTTTAGTACCCTTTGTAGTAAAATCTACTAGCCAACTGAGTGAGTAGGTTTCTTGAGTTCTGTGAACCACTCTAGCAAATTAATTGAATCAGAGGAAGGTATCCTTAGAACCTCTGCTCTGTAAACAGTTGGTCAGAAGCACAGGTAATAATTTGGGCTTGCAGCCAGCACCTGAAGCCTAAGGAGGGGCTACGGGACCCTCTAATCTGTAGCCAGTTAGTAGCACAGTAACAGTTCGGACTTAACAGTTCGGTCTCTGAAGTAGAGGGCAGTCTTGGGAGAGGAGCCTTTATCTGGTCCTATCTCCAAGGAGATCATGAAGGAGAAGTTAGGAAAAGGGTATAGGCGATCCTTTAGGAACAGGTGCCCCAAGTCCCAAGTTCATTCATTAGCCTGCTTGAGAAACAACTGCAGACCAGGAAGCCTCCCCACCAATTCAATTAAAAAAGGCATGTTCAAA